TTGACTGACTCTGGAGCCCAAGGATTTCGAAACGGCAGCCGCGGAGCGGCCTCTCCCCCGCTATTTCGAAATGAGCGTTATTCCTCGTGGGAAGCAGGAGTTGTTATTCCAAAATAACGGGCCTGCTAGTGTGGACGTGCCGCTAGTTATTTCGAAACAACTCCCTAGTGTAGACCAGGGCCAAGGCACTCATGAGCCGCCTGCCCAACGCCCTGGCAGGCACAACGCGCGGGTCTGATCCCTGTCCTGCTCCACGTGCCCTGTGGACGGCGACAGTCATTTTACTCCCACAGGTTACGTCTACACCGTACGTTCCGCAATCGTGAGGCTGAACTAGATTATTTTGAAATAGCACCTCTACCTGCAGGAAAGCGAAACAAAGGCAGGCTCCCCTAATGTGGACGTGCGATCGCGATTTAGAGCCCCAGGAGGCACTGGGGGGAATAACTTAGAACAGCCCTGGAGAGGGGCTATTTCAAACTAGCAGAAGCGGAGCATCTACACAGCCCCTAGTCCAAAATAACAATTGTGGAATAGGCATGGTTCTTCGCAGAATGAGGTTTACAGAAATCAGAATAAGCCTCCCTTATGTCAAAATTATTTCGAAAGCACGTTATTGCTGTGTAGCCACTCAAAATCAATTTCGATTTATTCCAAAATCACTGTGTTGTGTAGACACGCCCTCGGCGTCCCTTTCCGGCCGTAAGAGAGGCAACTCCTCGGCAGCTGTTTGGAAGCGTCTGTGTTCGCCGGTAACCCCTTGGCTGGATGTGGCCAGCTAGCGCTCGGCAGGCAGCACATTAACACCGGCACTCAAGCAGGGAGACGGGCCGACAGGACAGGAGAGACTTGCGCTAACTGGCCCAGCCGGGGCAGCTGACCCCCGCACTCAGAAAGACGCCATGTTGCCTGGAGCCTGCCAAGCAGCCAAAGGGGAAACCGGCTTGCGACGCAGGCGCTGAGCGCAGCAGGAAGCAGGTATATCCAACGCCCTGACTGCAAGAGCATTTCCCCTGCTCGTGGCAGGGGGGAGGGTGCTGCTCTCTCGTGTGTGGGTACTCCCTGTCACAGGGGCCCGAGGGTGGAATCCGCTGCTCGTGCGTGCCTGCTTCCAGGCCACAGGAGCTGGGGAAGCCGCCAGCTCTGCAGGGGTGCCAGAGGCAGTGTTACAAACCGGCTCAGGCACCTGCTGCTTGTCCTGTTACAATAATCATCAGCTGAACTGCCTGCCCCAAATACAGGGGCTGATTACAGCAATTACAGATGGTGACAAGCTTGTTCCTCCCACTCCCAGAGGCGGCCGGGGTCTGGCTCTGCAGGCTTCCGCCAATGGCTGTGGTTAGTAAGGGTTAGAGCAAGCACAAGGGAACAGGGGCAGATGACGATTTTGTGGGGCCCAGGGCAGCACAATTTCGCGGGGCCCCCCCCCCCTTTGCCACGGCGCATGCGCGGGGCTTCTTGAAGCGCGGGGCCCGGAGCGGCCACCCCGCTCGCCCTGCCCTATATCCGCCCCTGCAAGGGAGCCTGGTTTGTGGGGCACTCCAAGGCATTTGGTGTCTTGTGGAAGCAACATCTGGGATGGTTCCCAAGCAGGGTTTAAATCCCCCTGGATGCTTTGGTGCCTTCCCGTTACTGTGGGTGGAGCTGAGAAAGGGGCTCGCCAGCACGCGTCAATGAGGCAGCGGCTGCTTCCAAGCGGAAAAGCACCAGGAGGCCAGGCAAACAGGCCTGCTGAGGGGGTCGTGCGTCAGTTTCCTGGTGGGGCCGGCAGAGGCTTGCTGAAGGTTGTAGTTAAATCAGGCTAGAGAACAATTCTCCCATCCAGCAGGTGGCGTGACCCAAAAGCCTGCCGAGGATGCCCGGAATGTAATCCCGTGTTGGCCACCGACGTTTACCCAATGTCGCCAAGGTGCACTGCCCGACAAGGACAGCACAGAGGGAACATTAGCCTGGTCTGTCCCTGGTGAGCAAGTGAAGTGAGTGCCTGGCCCACCGGGCTCCCTGCATATGGAGTTTCATGTCACACGTGTACCTCTATGGAACGCCTTTCCTGCGTGTTACCTTCCTGCGCTGGCAGAGGGCACAAGCCTCTGGCCAACAGAGCCTACCCAGCTAAGACACACGTCAAGGACACAGGCCTGGGGAGCTAAAGAACAGGTGCTCGGGGTTCCCTTCCTGAGCTGCCACCGACCTGCGGGACCCGAGACGAGACACCCAGCAAAGCGAAGGCCCAGAGGCGGTTTGCCAATGGAGGCCAGATGTATGGCAGCAGGGAGCTGCTCAGCTTAATTCCGCCGAGGGCAGCTGCTACGAAAAGCCCCCAGACTCGGGGAAAGTCACACACCGTCGAACCCGAAGTGAGCAGCGCCGGAACGCCTCGCCTGCCGCCGCCGCACTGCCCCCTCTCCCAAGCACTTGACTTCGCTCAGCATGTCTTTCCTGGCCTCTCCCACAATGCCCTGCTCTGTGCAGCGTCTCTCCTGGCAGTGCACTGGGCACCAGATGGCTGTGGGCAGCGCACGCAGAGGTGGCTGAATTTCATGAACGGCGGCAGGAGCAGCAGGACGCTTAAGTAACTAAGTACGAAAAGTCTGTCTCTCCTTTCTGCGACTACCCCTCGCTCAGAGACATTACGAACGCCAAGCCTCTCGCGCAGGTCCCCTGTAATAACACTCGGCATTTCACAGTGCCAGGAAGGAGAGTTTCATACGTACTAACAGCTCCCCTTCGGTGCCATGGTTCTTAGCGGTACTGCTGGGCACTGTTCAACAGCTGCTGTGGGCCACCCAGTAGCTGTTTATTTTACTCTATGGATTATACTAGCAGACTTGCTGGGCGTTGCCTGGGGGCTTCAGGGCAGAGCGGGCGGCGTGGGGGCACAGAGCAGAGATAGAAGTGGGCGTTGCCTGGGGGCTTCAGGGCAGAGCGGGCGGTGTGGGGGCACAGAGCAGGGATAGAAGCGAGTAGTCGGCTACATGACAAGCCTAGGCTCTGTATCAGAGGCAGCAAGGCGGGGCGGAGCAGGAGCTGGTGAGGGATCTCTAGCCAATCTCTAGTCTGAGGGACAGTCCAGCAGTAAACTGAGCGAATGTCCAATAGATACAGTAAACAAGCCCGGCGGGAAGCGACCACAGCAGAGTCCCTACACACAACAAAGGGAACGTTCCACAGCCAGAGGAGTTTACAAAACAAAACCTTGCTTCTCATCCACCATTCAGCAGACTCCCTCGCCTGAGGTTTTCCTCACCACCGTGGCGGGCTCACCGCCTTACACTGAAAGCAAACACGGGCAGCTGAACGGTCTTTTCCTGGGCTGCTCAGAGGCGCCTCTAACCGGACAGACCACGTACGAAATGAAGACAGTGGCACCAGCCATTGGAGCATTAGGTCTCTCTAGCATCCGGCTAACACCGGCCTCTGCTGGAGACAAAGCAGCGACTACCCAGAGGACGAGGGACCTTCCGCCAGTAATGCATGGCTTTGACCTTGTCTCCTCCAACAGAAATATACAGCAACATGAAAAAGAACAAGTAGTCCCATGGCACCTTAGTATCAGGAGCTTTCAAGGGCAAACCCCAGTTCCTCTCATCTGAGGAAGTGGGCTTTGCCCACAAACGCTCATACTATATATATTTGTGCTAGTCTAAGGCAGTGGTCCCCAACCATTAGAGGTTGCCGGGTGCCAGCGGGCGTGACCGTTTGCCCGCCGAGCGCCAGGGCGCCGGCTGACCTCTCTGCCTCGGGCGCCGG